GGAAGGAGAGGAGGACGGAGGGGGAAGGGGAGGGGCAAGGGGAAGGGGAAGGGGAGGGGGAGGAGGAGGGGGAGGGGGAACAATGACAATACGACCCCCCACTTAATGTAATTGTAGATCATTGCAAGCATTGTAAGATGGTTTTTTCATTCATGTCCAGATGAGGACCAGATCCATGCGATGATCACCCCAAAAGAGAGAAAAAAAAGAAAAAACTTTCCCCATTCGTATTTGAACTTGTTCATAAAGCTTTCCACAATTCAGATAATAAGCAAATACAGGTGTTCCGCTCAGATTCTCATCACCCATTTTCATTGACGCTATTTGCCACTTCACAGATAACAACCGTTAACTATATCGTGCCTTGAAAATTCTCCCGCGGATGCAAATTGAATAGATTGACCCATTCAAAAGGTACCTACCTTCTTGATTGAAAATTTCCGCACACCCCCCCCCCCCCCCCCCCCCCCCATTCATCCATATCTTGCATGGTTGTCGTAACTTTTAGCCAATTTCTGTCGAAAATCGTTAGCGGATGATTTGGTGTTCGCTATGCTGTCCCCTTTCTTCGCTAACTTCCCGCTCCCTGATGAGATCATTTGACTCGAGAGCTTTTACACTCTCCATTGCGGCTTCTTCATCATAATTTGCAGACGAAAGATGGTTAAACATCCTGTTGTCGGTTCTTCTTCTCTTCCTCCTTCGCTGCACTTTTCTAGCTTGCCATTCCCAGTTGATGATAAACAAATCCCAAATATCTTTCACCCTTTAGGAAGTGATGATTCCACGCTCGTTCACTTTGTTGTCCTCTTTCCTTTCCGTTTCGCACCACTCTGTGATGAAACGTTTCGCACCACTCCTGTGATGCCGTTTTCAGTCCAAATGCGGCTACGCCATTTGCAGATGAAAGGAGATAATGTATATATATATATACATATATATCGTCACAAATAGAACTGCCCGGTAAACCGTAGGCAGAGAGAGAGAAGAGGACAATATATATATATATATATACCCTGTTGTCGATTCTCTCTTCCTCCCTTCGATCCTGTTATCTAGGTTGTCATTCCCAGATGATAAAAAATTCCCGCGAATCTCCTTCGTTCCTTGCCGGTATTTTGGCTCTGATTGCTGTTCTAGATGATGAGAGGATCTGACGACTCTCCCCCCCCCCCCACCTTTCGCCCTGAACAGTGCTTTCCTCCTCTCCTTTGCGCCGCATTCAGTTTCGTCCTTCACCTTTCATTTGACATCCCACACTCAGCGCATACTCGCACAGGACATTCTGAAATGCACCTGACCACAAACACGGCCAGGTTCTTGCACATTTCGTCCAAAGTGTACAAGTGTAAGCACGTGCTTACATGTACTGCAATTAGTGCCCCCACTGCAAACACCCTCCTCCCTTCCCGCATGTCTCTCCTGAAAAGCCCTTTGCGCACTACCATGCTCTTTTTCCCTTGATAAATTCGCGCGCCATCCTTTGCTCGTTTCCTTGGCCCCTCGAGCTAGTGGAACATTACAAAACACTAGAAAAGAAGCCCTTTGTGCATTTCGCTCTTCTTTCCTTGTCACATTCGCAGCATCCTTCTCTTGCTGCCCTTGCCCCCTTGAGCTAGGGACGCGGCTACGAAAAACTAGCAAAAAAAGGCTGCTACAGCAGGGACACCGCTCCCACTCGCCTTCTGCATAAGAACGCGTAAGCGGCAGCTGACTATTTCACCCACATCGCAACCTTCTTCGCAGACATGCATGCTAGCACACAGCCCCTCCCCAAAGTGCCGCATTGTGGTCCCCACCATCAACGACGTACCTCGTCAATCCCGAATCCCCATCTTTCTTTCTGGTGGATCTGATGCTGCAGAGCTCCAACGGGATCTCCATAGTCACGTTGACTTGCTCAACAAACCGCGCCCCTTCACTGGTACAGCTGACCCACCCTAGTTCAATCAACGGCTGATCGATAAAGCACGCACCTTGATTGCTTTGCCGCGCATTCATTGTTTCTTATGATTCATCGTTGCTTTCAGGTTCTCCGAAATCAAGTTCCCGGTACACGGATTTGGTGTTCGGCGAGAGCAAAATTTTTCGATGAATCAGCAAAGCAAGGAGAGAGACATAGCTTCTGTTATACCATAATAAATGGCATTCCGTCTCAACCTCTCACCCCACTTGCAGGATCATCACTGATGTGAAACTCCACTGTTTCTTACGCAGGCAAAGGTTCTTCGACTTTGCGTGGGTGATCGCAATTTTTCTTCTTCGACTTTGAGATTCTCTGCATGATCTCCTTTTTCCTCGCGCTTCACTCTTGTCGACTTATCCTTCGCAGCGGCTGCTATTTACTCTTCTTTCAAGGGGTAGTGCTGGTTTTTTGACCGGTACATTCCTCTGCGTCACTCGCCTGTAAACTTCCTTCTTACCACGAGAGAGACAATAAGCTCTTCCCTGCTGCGGAGAAGAGAACACACAAGGAATATTAACCAAATAGATGAAGGAAATCAAAACAGAGCGGCGAGGGGTGAACAAGGAACCGGCGGCGCAAGTGCACACTATGTGCCCCATGCTCTGGAGGGGGGAAAGGATGCCAAGGTAACGGACAACATCAGACCCACACTCACCCTGCATAGGCAGCCAGCTGCAAGCCTTAGAGGAATGCCATGCAGATGGGGGAAGAAGGCAGGGCGGGTCTTTTCAACAGATAGGCACAGAAAGGAAAAACAGCTGGGAAATGTGGGTCAGTATGCACTGGACGGCTTGCAGCTCGGCGGTGGTGGGGAAGGAGGATAGGAAAAGGGGTGGTCGTAGGGATTGGTTCGTGGGGGTCAAGCCTTCGCCAACCGTCGTGCACAGCCATCTTACTTAGCTTCGCTTCTTCTGTAGATTTATGCATGTGGCTTCGCTTCTCCTGTAGAAATTTATGCATGTGGCTTCGCTTCTTCTGTCGATTTATGCATGTGGCTTCTCTTCTTGATCGGAGGCAACAACACTTACCCGTGAGTCCCTGCGCCCTCCAAAAGCTCGGCAAACCAGATACGATTCCGGCCGTTCACCACACATCTTGCCACTTCATTGGATCAATGCGCTGACTTGCCCGCCCACTTGTAGCAGCTTCCAGAAGCAAGCACACCCTCCACCAGCGCAGATTGCATCCCTGTCACCAACGCCAGGCTCTCAACCTACAAAACCAGTTTCATCTTCTCCTCGCCTAGATGCCATCGCACTCCTCCACCGCATGCCTTACGGCTGCCTTGGACCCACAAGCTGACTTGCCTGCCCCGTCTGTAGAAGCTTCATAGCAGCAAGCACACCCTCCGCTCATGTAGATTGATTGCATCCCTGTCATCTGTCCCAGGATCTCAACCTTCTTACACATTTTCAAAACTCTCCTTATCTACTGCTCCAGTCAGGCTTCAAAGAACAGCATACTGTCCCTGCAGTTTCCCCACATTCTGAGCTGGCCATGATCTCTCCACTTCCCCTCTCTGACTCCACCAACCTGTATCGCCACCGCAACCCCTACCGGCCCACCCAGCAGAGCCCGCCGCAGATCATCACCATCTTAGGACACGCATCAAGTCACAGAGAGAGAGAGAGAGAGAGAGAGAGAACGAGACTGTATGTGTCTGCAAGAGAACGAGAGAGCGATGCGCTCATTACCCCCCGGTGGACCTTTCCCATCACAATTTTCTGCAAATAACTTGGATTATCCATTTCGGGATCTTTTCTATTTCCCCATTACCACCCAGCCTGGCAATGGGCGCCACCAGCTCCCCAAACGCTACAAAGTCCACATACTCATGCATGCACCACTCCTTTCACACCCCTAGCAGCATCCCACCGTCCACCAGTACTACGGCATGAGACCAGCACCTTCCTTCCAGTGACTGCAATCGCATGTGCCATGGGCACGCCCGCCATAACCGCAAGGAAGGCAGCTCCCGTCCACACAACAGTCTCCATCGTGAGCAGCAATCAGGCCGCACAGCATGGACATCTGCACCCCCATCACCTCCCATTTACCACCCACAAACCCGAAAACTTCCAGCAGCCTCAGAAAGGGGAACCAAGTCGGAAAGCAAACGCACAAGGTAACCCGCATAGGCAAAGCGTGATGAGAAGCCAAACTAAACAGCCGACCATCGTCCATCCACTGAAAGAAACAGCCATGTTCCGCCACTACCCTACTAGCTATGATACTCAGAACGTCCGACTACAGCCAGCATCACCATATCACATACACCCCCCCCCTAAAATCTCCCTCCCAAGCTACACCCCGTTCTAAATTCACCTGTAACCACCTCTCTTGCCAACCTCATCTACCACGCAAGACTACACCTACATGACTGTCCCTATTGTTTTCGACAAAGACCCACCCAGCATACCACCTCCTGCACCACCAACTCCCCCAGCCCCGCGCGCATCTGGTGGTGGATCCTTCAGCTCGTGGGCGCCGTGAGCAAAGTGACACCGATCGCCAAATGTACAGGTGCCGCCTGGGAAGTTTTCACACATCTTCATCTTGTAGTTATGGGGCCCAAGCCCGGAAGGCTTTGAAGGTGTCAGGTCCCTCTGCATCAAAAACTGTCGCACCATGCTCGATGCCTTCTCGATTTGCTCCAGCGACCCCTCCATTTCCACATTCCGAAGGTTGGTATCTGTTTCGTGGTCACGTACTGACAACTTCGCCCCCGTCAGCTTGCATATTTGCTTTACATTGGCACCTGCCTTCCCAATGATGGCCCCAACCAGGCTTGCATCGATGCTGATCTTCGTTGTTGTAGACTGACCAAACGAAACCGCAGCCGACATAGACGAACTCATCTCTGGCCCGGCGCCCAGAGGAAACAGTCCTCTTCCGTTCTCCCTTCCCCCACCCAACATGCCTCCAAACTGCCCACCTAATGCTGACCCAGACCCGCCACGACCAGTCTGCCAAACCCCGCCATGTATGTCACCTCCTAGTGTAAGATCACCTGGCTGCAACTCATATTCTCCATGGGCAAAGTGGCACTTCTCACCAAAGCGGCAACCCCCAGGCTCGCGATATCTGTTGCACAACCGCGACTTATACCCCCCAAGATTCGATCCGGCATCCACAAGGCCAGACCCTTTGCCATTCTGAGCTGCTGCGAGAGCCTGAGCTACTGCGTTGGGCCCTCCAGGGACATAATGCAAGAAATGACAATTGTCACCATACGGACAGCCAGAGGTACTGCACAGAAACAGAAAATGCAAACACCTGGTCACTCACAACGCAAGGCACCGATTTTCTGATATCTGCAAGAAAACAGAAGTGAGCACGGCTTCCATTTGTGAGCCCATCAGACGACTGGCTCGCTTATGTACTAGCATACCACATACAGTAATACCTGGGAGGAGTTTCAGAAGGATCTATCCATATCCATGTTTATTACGCTGCAAAAACGGTGGAGGGCAGGCCAGATACCCCTCCCCCATCTCTCTCTCTCTCTCTCTCTCTCTCTCTCTCTCTCTCTCTCTCTCTCTCTCTCTCTCTCTCTCTCNCTCTCTCTCTCTCTCTCTCTCTCTCTCTCTCTCTCTCTCTCTCTCTCTCTCTCTCTCTCTCTCTCTCTCTCTCTCTCTCTCTCTCTCCAACGCACACCCACACCCACCCCTTCCCACCCTGTCTTACATGTTACGCAGTGCAGGCTAAAGAGTGGACTGCGTGTTTGGATAGAAGAACACAGCGTAGATAAACGAAAAGCAAGGATAGCAACAACCTATACTTTCATTTCGTTTTTCATTCTTTTCCCTTTTCCACAGGTTGCAGGATTCCCAGGTTCATGTACCTGCGCACCTGCCTGCTTGCCAAAAGCAGATTTGCACCGCAGAAAGAGCAAAACAAGTCGCACTAGGACTTTCCTTGATGCATCTGGTCGTACATGGCACCAAAAGCGCGAACAAACCAAGCCTTGCAAATAGTGCGCTATTCTCCATCGTGAATCGGCCAGACTTTGATAGGTGAGGGAGCAAAGGACACATACGCTGAAGGAAAGCAGGGCAGCCCGCCATTCACGCTGCTGCATGGGCGATCCCATCATCGTGCTTCTGACAGGTCTAACAACATTCACAACCACCGAATCGCTCGGCCTCTGTCCTCAGGGAAGGGGAAGAGGAAGGAAGCCAGCAAAGCTTTCTTGCCATTAAAGTCATAAATCATCGCTCATGTCTTCACCAGCGAAGAATGCACAGTCATCATAGCTGTAGTCCGTACGATTCTCAGTCTAGATACAACATTCTGTTCGAGTGAAGACGGACATATAGCTGCCATATAGGGAAGAGATTCCTTTCCGGACCAAACAGCATGCCAAACAGTTTGTTGCACTTCACTGGTGATAGGAGATACGACAGGACAGTTACGTCTGTACTTGGGGCTAATACAGGTCAGATATAGCAGATACGATGACCTCGTGATTCACTTGTATAGAAGATCGTAGGGGTATGAATATGATATACCCTCGGGGATTAGATCGTGAGGAACTTCAAGTACCATACAATTTCCACACCACTTGCTGTCTAGTCATTGCGCCTATCACACTCAGCCCCTCTCTGAAAAGCCACGAATAGATCAACCACGATGGGGTCACAAGCTCAACAGAAAAAACACCAATAGTCGTTACCTGAAAAACTTTGTGCACGCCTTTGATCTGCTTCCTGGCGCCGGTGGCTGAGGCCCAGCACCATCTTGTCGGGCATCTTCTCCTGCCAATCAAAAAGCATCACAGTAGCAATATTATCTGAGATCACCTCCCCACCACCGCAATACGACCAAGAGAGCACTGACCATACACGCCACAAGGAGAACAATAGAGGTCTACCAACAAAACATGAGCGAAAAAATGCACGGAGAAGAAGAGAGACAAAGATCCGTACGATGTCCAAATGCCAGGTTGCAGCTTAGTAACCTGACAAAGACCATGGCAGCATAGCACTAGACCGTGCACCGGCAGTTTTTTTTTTTTTTTGGTGAACCCATGCCCACATTCATATGGAATGCACCAGGCCTCCACTTTGTTACCTTAAAATATATATAAAATTTGAAACCCATAGCAATTGAGCGTCTTTCGGCCAAAGACAACTTCAAAGACCCACACAAAAAATCGCTGTCGCCGGAGTCCTGCAATTTCTGAGAAAACGTTGTTCATTCGGTCTGTTTTCTGAGAATTCTGTGCGCTTTGCTGTGTTCTCTAAGTGTGCGTGTGACCGACCACAAATGTGTACATGCCTTGTGCTTGCCTGAGTCCAAGTCCGTGTCCTTTTACGAACTCTGTGTCCCGTGTCGTGTTCCTGTAGCTCGCACCGGGGAAGACTGGTAATAGGTACAGAGACACAGGGACAGACGTGAAATGGCAACATAACAACCCACCGGAAGGGTAGTTGTAGAATTTGATGGGGACCCGGTAGGGCCTTTTCAGCAACTCGGGTAGGCCCAGGTAAGTCCAGCAGGGGCAGGGAAAAGGTCCAGTTGCTCCCAGAAAAAGAAAATGGTTCAGGGCCTGCATATAGTCAGATGTTAAGGTAGATTCAGGCCCTGGGAGTAGCTGGTGGCTGGAATGAGTTCCTGCCAAAAGGCATAACTTTCAGTAGGTCCAAGGCACCAAGGGAACACCGAGCTACAGTGAAATTTGGTCGAGAGTTGGTTTAGCTCAGCTGGGAAAAGAGTGTCTTTCGGTGGGACAGGCAGTAGAGGTCCTCTCTCGAAGCAGTGAGCCGCTGTTCCGCCCAGAGGAAGATGCTGGCAGAGCTCCTGCTGGTGAAGGCGATTGAGAGCGATGAAGAAGACCTCCATGGCTAGGGAGTAGGGAGAAGGTAGAGCTAGACCTAGGCTATGGAGGTGGGGGTTAAGGACCTCTAGCGTAGTAGGGTAGAACGAGGAAGGAGGTGGAGACGGGGCTATCTTAGACCTGCATCTTCGTCTCCAAGGTTGGCACTGCATCTAGAAGGCCCCTGAAGGGGAAACTGGTGGGTTCGGGACTTCATTTGGTGGTTTAGGCTTGGCGGCCTAATCCACCAAATGAAGTCCCAAACTTACCAAATGAAGTAACGGGGGAGGCCATGGAGCTTTGTGTTGTCCTTTTACCCTTCAAGCTATGGCGCTGGGATGAGTCGCCACAGCCAGATGCAACAAGGAGAGAGAGAGAGAGAGAGGTGGGAGGTAAAGGAGGGCTTTTTGTGTTGCTGGCAGTAAGCGGGAGTAATCAACAAGTTATGGCGCTGGGCAACCTACCCTCAGGTCTTGATCACCCTCAACCTCCCTCTCTCTCTATTCCACAAGCTATGACGCTGGGCGACCTACCCTCGCAATGTCTACTTCTCTCTCCCTCCCTCCTCCAGCATTCACTGTAGCAGCGCTCGTTGACAGCCTTGGATGAAAAGTAGCGCGACTGTGACTGGTGGTCTAACGAGGCACAAGGGCAGGCAGCCTAACAGTGACAAAACCACCAGTAGGTTTCCCAGCTATTTGTTCCGGTGCGGCGGCGTTCACAGAGACTATCTAGCGGACAAAACTACCGTCCTCACACAAAAACAACGCCTGGGCGTTGTATACGAAATATAACGCCCGGCAGGCGTTATATTCGTTTATAACGCCCGGCCGTTACATTCGGTAAATTGGGGCCAAATTCGGTGGGGGGCTAGGCTACCAGAGTGGCCCGGGGTCACTTGCCCGGCCGGGCCAAAAAGATTTAAAATTTTTAAAAATAAAAAATATTTTAAAATTTTATTTTATATTTTAAATTTGGTAAAAATTTTCGATGTGACCCTGAGGCAAAAGTTGTTCAGTTTATTTTTCTGCATAACATAGATTTTTTTCGGATTTTTTGGATTTTTTTTTTTTTTTTGCTGGGACCCTCCCTTGTTCTTGCATGGGCTGGCCACCCGGGACCCGGGCGGCCCGGCTGGTAGCCTAGTTGGGGGGGCAAAAGTTCAAAAAACAAAAAGCAAAAAATTCTGTTTAAAAAAAAAATTTGTCTAGATTTGTTACCAACTTTTGGCTGAGGGTCATTTCGGAATTCCTTATAAATCCGGGGGGAGGGGGGAATCTGCAAGCAGAGGACGCTCTTGCCGCCAACAATTGGCCTACCAAAACATACCCCCTCTCAACTCGCTTTTGAAACCCATGTTTACTCCCTCTACAAGGCACTCTGCCCGGGCGTTCTATTAAAAAAAAACAAAGCGAGCAAAAACACAAATCCGCCTTTTTAAGGGTAAGTTGAATATAACGCCCGGGGCGTTATATTCGGGTGAAGACGGTAGCTGACGACACCATCCAAGAAGAAAAAGAATTGTGTCCACACCGCTTCCTTGTTTGGCATAGAGCAACAATCTGGGTCCGCAAAGGGAGGCTAGGACGTACTGTTAAGGCATTTTCAGCATATAGCAAAGTGATTGAACTCTCATGTTGCCATGAGAGGGACCCATCTTGAGCCCACACAATGAGCCCGCACAATAAATCCAAGAACTCCAATACTTATCATAGATAGCGGTGACCACCCTCTAAGGCTAAGTATTTATCAATGACCGATAGTGTACAAGTACCGTGAGGGAAAGGTGAAAAGAACCCTAAGAAAGGGAGTGAAATAGAAAACCTGAAACCCAATGCAAGCAATCAGTCGAAGGCTGAAAGATGCATCATCAATCTATGGATGATGGACCTGCAAAGGTTTAACTACAAAACGCATGATTACATTCATAGACCAGTTCTCATTAGCTAGACAATAGAAAGTTTTATAAACATTAGGACCAGATTTTGTTTTTTCCCCATGAATCATGCAAATGTTGATAAATTTGTGTAAAATTTGTGTATCAATTGTTGTACCTCGCAATCCTCTAAAATCAAAGGCTCAAAGAGCAAGACTTGTGAGATTTTTTGGTTCGCCGGCGGGTAAGCACGTAGATGGCGAGCCTAGGCCGAACAGAGATGGGCTGCACAGAGGTTGCTTTCTTTATCAGGTCAACCAGACCAGCGTCCAAGCATATACCGCTGCCGATAGATAAGGAGGCCTTTCTTATCTTAAGAGAAAATTAGAAATAAAACGGAATGAACTGGGTTTCTAGCACGTATAACCATAACACCAGAAACTAAAGCGATGCTTGAAAAAATAGAAAAGAAGTATCATTGTAGTGATTAATCTTTCTCTAGCTAGCGAGCCTACTGCCTTTGCTTTTTTCCGAGTATATTAGACTGGTTTGGCTTTGAGAGATCGATCATCAAAAGCTCTGAAAAAAAAAAAAGAAAAAAAAAAAAAAAAAGGAGATCTCATAATGGTTTTTAGTCCAGTGGAACAATTTGCTATTATTCCATTGATTCCTTTCTTTTTTGTTCAGTCCTTTGAAAATCTGTCATATTTTGTTGAAAAACATCTTGCCTTTTTACTTGAGTACTCTTATGCATAGTAAGTACTATAGCTCCAATCATGGCCACTAATAAAATAAGACTTGAAATAAGACTTGAAACCAGAAACAAGTAAAAATAAGTGGCATCAAATAGATTTCCTGCAGTTTCCAGATTAGTCCAACTTTGTATTTTGGAAGCATAAACAGTAGGCCCAGGGGGAACCTGGCAGTGACCACTTTGAGAAACACAAGATACGCACTCCGTTAAAAAAAAAAAAAAAAAAAAAAAAAAAAAAAAAAAAAAAAAAAAAAAAAAAAAAAAAAAAAGGATTAGGCTCTAAATAGTTTTTTTTTTTTTTTTTTTAAAGGCTCTAAATAGTAAATATCATCCAAGCAAATTCGAAAAGATTGGAAAGTCTTCCAGAGAAGGTGATAGCCCTCTGTATATTTTGTCCAATGTCCTCACTCCACTACTCTCGAAATGTGCAAAAGTAGAGTGAATCTTCCGCTAGAGCATGGAATGGAAAGACGCACTGCCATGATTTGTGTCTTTTGTGCATGTCGAGAGTAGTGGTGCGAGGCCCAATGACATGAGAACACAGCGAAACACACGCAGACTAAAATCACAGCTTTGCCATTTGCACACTTAATCCCGAAAGGTCGTTCTCAGCATTGCCAGCCCCCTCACAGCTACATTGCACCTTCCTGCAAGATACTCAGGGGAAGAGAAGAGGAAACAGATAACAGGATGGGAAGACTGACGACAAGCAGAAAAAGAGAGAGAGAGAGAGAGAGAGAGAAAGAAGAACGCAAACGTGGATCCATAAAACAAAAAGAACAGATATAGTACCTTGTGAAGTCGGGTGCCGAAATCTGCAGCGATCGCCATATGGACAACCCTCTGGAGTGTTGAATTTATGACATTCACCGTCTGTAGGGTCCCCACTTCCATGGCCCCCCATCCTCAGCCTCTTTTGAGGGGGTCCTGATCCCTCCATCACCGCCTCCTGCTTCATCACCAAACGCTACTGCAACCAACCCGAACCTCCGTGCCAAACCTCTGTCCCAAACCAAACCTCACAGCCACCAATCGCAACTTGTGCCCCTTTCCTCTTCTCACAGCTGGACAAACACCCTATTTCTTCTTCCCTGCTTCACAGCCAAACACAACAACAGCCAAGCAGTAAAGGGTTCTCAAAACAAAACTTTTGTGTTGGCTAAGGACGACAGATAGGACCACACGAGACAGACACAGGATAATTTGTTAAAAAGAACGCATTCAGACAAATTTAAAAAAGTAATAACCAAAAAACAAGAAAAGAAAAAAACCACCAACAAGCAATCATTCAAAAAGACTTTCCTGAACAGGTTCGTGAACATTGGGCACCAAAAGGATGGGAAAACTGCAACAGGACTTCTCCGAATTTTCGTTCCTTCATCCCACAGCTCCTTGCAAAAACTGGTATGTATATTGTCACAGAACAATTGACTAAGAGCGCAAACACATGAAGAAGAAGAAGAAATAAGATCAGTGAAGAAAAGAAAAAGTGAAAGGACAGACAGGCAAAGAGACAGACAAACCAGAAAGACAGAAAACAGTGTCTTCTTCTCCTTTGTTTTAGTGTATTCTTACTTCTTTCAGTGTTTTATAATTTTTTCCCACTGAACAAAGGATAAAAAACAAAAAACAAAGACACATTGAAATCATTCAATTTCTCAGTCTACTTAACGCCGCCTCCACTGCGCCTCTCTCGTACACGGCTCGCCACGTTGATGAAGTTGAGCGCGAGCTGCCCCCATCCCCGTATGCCATAACAGCCCACTTGCACGCTGTGAGAGAGGCAGAGTGAAGGGGGAGGTGTTAAACACAAGGAAGAGAGGAGCAGAAAAGAAAACCCGATAGGAGAAGGGAAAGTGACACAACTTCTTCTTTCTTTTACTGTATTCTTCTGTCTTTCACAGTTTTGCAGTTTTGGTGAAGGGTCTACCACATTCACTTTTCAGTGCACCTGCACTTCCTTCTTCTCTGTACCGTTAAAAGTTATACCGGTCCCCCCGTCACACGCGGCTGTGGGCCCACAGAAAATCACAGGATGGGCGGAACCGGAGGACGCCGTCACGTGAGGGCGGGACGGGTGGAACCGGAGGAGGCCGTCGCGTAAGGGCAGGACGGGCGGGACCGGAGGAGGCTGTCGCGTGTGGTGAGACGAACTGCCGCAGGGCCCGTGGGAAAAAGGACGTGCCCACAAAAATCTGTGAGTAAGGGCGTGGCCACGAGAATCCGTGTGTCTATTCGCACCCAGGAGAATCCATGGGATGGGCGCAGGCGGAGCGAGGTCGTGGGGTGCGTGCAGAGGGAAGAGTGTGTGTGTGTGTGTGTGTGTGTGTGTGTGTGTGTG